CCTGCCTCTGGTGACCTACATACACCTCCTTCTCTTTAACATGACTTTTTTGTTAAAATTACAGGTGGAGAAGATGTTTGCCATCTTGACCCATGGTCTTAAACTTGCACATTCCACCGTGATAGGTTTGTGATGTTTATGAGCTTAAACAGACATAAATGTGCACGTGTCCCCACACTTGAAGTACAACATAGCTCAAATGAAATAAACAAGTAAAACATAATGCAAGACTGTCATTATAAATTAAGGCCTTACTAATGCAGAAGCCTCCCAGAGCGGTGTGCCAGGAACCACTCATCAAGCTGACCCCGCCACCTTCCCCTTTAATGCTAAACCTGTCAATGCTAATTGTGCAAGTGTTTGCCAGTTCTGCTAATGAATGTGTGCATTGCCAACACCAAGTTCTGCGCCCAAGTTCACCATGTGTAAGAATTCATAGGCCTAAAAAAAACGTCAAACGTTTGCTTCAGCATGTTTGTTTGTTGGAAAATAAACAGTTTAATTTTCTTTATTTCCTTTTTCAAATCGTCCCGTTGCTGAGGAGGTTTACTCCTCAGCTGTGAATGTTGATGAGCTCATAAAACAATACCCTTCGTAGCACTGAGCACGCTTGAATACATTTCCATCTGGGGCTTTGCATTTGAATGTCTTGGCCTTAACCATCTGCCATCTTGGCCGTTACAAGGCAGACAGCAGAGCCAAGTTCAAATTCACTTCGAGAGAGGTCAGATGCTCCACCCATTTGGGACCCAAGCAATGACATAAGTATTTACATTGGCTTAGATGCTGCTGATGTAACAAACACCGAGGGCCTGACTGGTCACCCAGAAAGGCTAAAGCAGAAAGAAACAACAGCAATAATGACTCTAATGCACGAAACACATAGCAGCCCATAAACTGTCTCACTTTTTGGTTAGAAAGCAAGCTTGTTTGGCTATTTATTAAAAAATAATGATTTAAAAAGAGCATTTTTTTTTCAAATGTCAGGCAAATATGGACATATTTTGATGAAGATAATCTACTGTCTATTTTCATTCTTATGTATTGATCATCAAGCAAAATAGTGAGAAACAGCCTCACACAGAGCAAAACCTGTGGTTAAAGCACCACCTACTGGCAAAGATAAAACAATTAAATTATTGCTTATAAAAGATTCAGTAGCACTGACAACATAATCCTGATATAATATCATCTCTAAATTATGAGTTACAAAGTATTAAGAGTAAGACATATCAAATTGACAGTTAATATGACTAATGCATTGGTCTGATGCAGGGAGAAGCATGTTTTGATGTGTTGCAGTGTGAGCCCTGACCTGCAGGGGGTGCTGGTTTGATGTTGACTGGAGCTGGTTTTACCACAGGGAGCACAGTGGTCTGCAGAGGCTGGATGATGATTGTCTTGGCCTGCATGGGAGCTGCTGCTTGAGCCAATGGCACAGCTGTAATCAGTGGTTTGGGCTGGATGGAAACCTTTGGGCCAATCTGAATCGGCTTCTTGACCGGCTGAACTGGCTTGGCTGGTGTGCATGTGTGAATATGTCAAAGGACAGGGATGGAAGTAGTTAGACAAGGAAACGGTATTCATATAAATATCCTAAGCTCATGAAAACAAATATGCATTTACAGTTATAAGTTATTCTTAAAGGACTTGTTTTTTTTTCAGGACACAACATCCCAGAGTTTTGCAAACCCATACTGTGGTGCAAAAATAGCAAATCTTCCCTGTTTTAGTAATCAGATGTCTAAATATTGAGAAAAGCTGAATAGCTAGCAGACGTGTGGTGGCAGAAGCTGCCTCACCTCGTACAACCTGATTGGTCCTCTTTGCAGCTTTTCTAGGTGGGGAAGAGATTTCAGAAAAGCCACTGGACTCTGAGCAGACTGACAGAGGAGACGGCTGCGATTGTGGAGACAGGGCCTCATCCTGAATGAAGAAACAAATGAGATTTAGATCGTGTATCTTCGAGGACGTGATCAGTGTAGTCACATCACTGTTTAAATACGTTTCACCCGTGACACTATAAATTAATTTGTGAAGCCATTTGTACTCTATGTGTGCTCAAGGCACGCCCGATACAAACAGATAGAGTGTCCTTATCGGTACTCAAAGACTCCAGCAGACAAATGTGTCCTTGGAGAAGTCAGGACGATTCCTTTAGCAGACAAATGCGTGCAGACTGTGTTGGGGCCAGAAAAAGATGTAACCCTTGTCCTTGTTTTGACACGCTGTGAAAACATCTGCCTGCTAAATTATGCTAATACGCTTGAAGCTGTCAGCACCTTTTTTTCCTGTTTTTAACGAGCCGTTGGAGCACATTTCAGATGGATGGCAAATTATTAATCTGACAAGGTGTTTAAGGCTTTTGGTAATAAGTGTCTCGAGTGTGCGCATCGCCGTCCAAAAGGAAAGAGCAGCTGTCATTGTTTGAACGCCATCTGGATGAAAATTTTTGTTGCTGCAACTGCTCAAAGGAGGGGCAAGCATGTAAATAATCACATTGTGAAACAAAGTGCAATTTGCATTGGAAATGCAATTCAAATGCAGAAAAACCAGGAAGGACAAAGAGTTGAAAAGCGTGTCTTACCTGCAAGGAACACGGAGACAAAGCTTCCACTGAGGCAGGAGAGGGCACCGAGCTCAGAGTGTGGGCAGGTGACAGAGAGTCCACGCTCACCTCACCATCTGGACGCACAAGGACATGGAAACAATGGGCAATATGTGCGAGTCTTATTCAGCATAAGCCAATGAGTCTCTCAAGTATTGAACCATTCAATACTTTTGTATTGTTGGACCATTAAACCTACTGCATGGTGGACAAGTTTAAAAAATAATGACGTACCAGTGTTACATGCATGTAGTAAAACAGCTCTATTATCCCTGAATAATATCCCTTTTAGATTTATTTATATAGTCCTTATTTTGTGCTGCAGTGTGACACGACGTACCTGTGGAAATGCTGCATGTATCCATTTCATTCCATGGAGGAATGTCGATGTCAAAGTCCAGATCTGGAACACCATTGGCCTGAGAAATCAAACATATGGTTTTGAAAAAAATGGACTTCCTGAGAAAGCAGAATGGAAGCAAATGCATGTAGAGAAATCCAATAAATGTGTCATTTATAGCTGATAAAATTAAACACGTTTGAATTCTGGGGCATTTATTTGAGTCTACAGTATTTTTTTTGCATGCACGATGTAGGTGGAATTTTTTATTTTTTTGGTGCATGATCTATCCTTGCATAGCAAAACGTGGCTGTAGCCATCTTAGGCTCTACCCTCAGCACCACACAGTCAATTTTTTTTCAGATTTCCACTGGGCAGATCTTTCACTTCCCCATTATTTGCATATTAAGAGGATGAGTTACTCACATAGCCAGCATTATCAAGAGCCTCAAGCAGCTCATCTGCATCCCGCAGCTCATCGCCTAGTTTCTCCAGCTCATCGAACAGGCTTAAGTCTGTATGTCAATGAGAACAGAACACAGACGATTGCTTTCCATTAGAAATCTTTATCATGAGATTATTGAAGAAATGAATACAAAACAATTACAAAAAATATTTGACACATTTGGCTTTTGCTTTTTTCTTGCGGTTAACTGCCAGTAAAAGAGACAAGCTGGTATGATCAAATGTACTGTATTTAGTTAGTTCTGCCATATTCAGTAAATAACCCATACAGGCAATGTGTAATTTGGAATTTGCTATCAATACAGTTCAGACTGTGCCACAAAAACATGCACACACAACACAGCATAACACAATTACAGACAAAACTACTAACACCAAAAAATGTACCCTTAAAAAAATGTATCTTTGTTTTTTGTCTTTTTCAAAGCATAAACTCTAACAGGCCAAACAAGATTATTATGGTCACACTTTAACAAATCTGTTTCACTTTCATTTTTAACATCTTATTTGTTTCTTCTACATTTTCTTCCTCGGGTTATTACACAATTCAGCATAAAACACAAGTAAGTGCAAACAGCAACTCTATTAAAAAATAGCATTAACAATGATAATAATAGATAACATTAAATATATAAATTGTTAACAAGTTTTACTTTTCGAGACCTTAAAAGCGATTATTAAAATAAATCAGTAAAAATGAGAAAAAAAAACCTACATTCTTCGTGTTTTTGTTTTTTTAGGGTAAGTTGTGCACTTTATATATTATCTATATTTAGTATTACATATCTGTAATAATAATCAGACAATGCAGTGTGAAGTGTGCCCTGTCTCCAGTTACAGTGCTGGTTATAACTCCAATTACCTGCTGTTACATCATCACAGCATCATGGCTAATGCTAAATAGCTAACTTAGACTCAGGAGTGTGACAACAAGCACAACACATAAACCTCCTACTTATGTCTTTAAAACAACAGACTTATAAAAACTCCTCTTTTATACGTGTTGTCTCTGTTGATATCCTGGGTCAGCTACACTGCTTCTCTCTATGAGTCTTTCTAGAATATGTGAGCTCCGTTGTTGCTTACCCCACTCTCCCTCCTGATCGATGGAGATGATGCCTGCCTCACTATCCATCACAGGGTATTGCCGATGATTTTCGAAGTCTAACGTTAAGTCGGATGACATCCTCTTTTGAATTCATTAGTATATTATCACACTGTAACAAAGCGCGATCATACCACTGTTGATCAAGCGGCTGTTTGGGGATGAACTTCCCGTTTAGATACACGTCTGACTTTACCGTCAGTCTACGGGTGCCGCCGAGGGACTTACAACCCGTCGCGCAGCGAGCATGGGCGCGCAGCTGGGAATTTTATTATAATAATTTATTTTATTGCTCTCTCATTCTCAAAACAAAAACAGTAACAGATACAAAATAGAAGACTGAGTTATAGCTTTCTAAATGAAAGTAAGCAAAATAAGAGATCTTAAAAGAATTACAAGTAAGACATGTATATATATAAATACACACACACATATATAGGAAGAAAAAAATGAACAAAAACAACAACAAACAATGCGAGAGCGACAGTGACATTAAACAAAGACATTAAAAGTATTACAAATTGCAACGGTTTTAATGCTGCTGGAAAATTTGCATCGCAGCTTGTAGTTCCTAACTGCGCCACTAGGTAGCAGGATAGTACTGCAGGCTCCACGGTACGGCGTGAAATGTTTAGTGTTCAAACGCTGATTTCTGTCGACACGCAGGAGCTGAGATCATGAGGCAGAAGTTGAGTAAGTCACTTATGTTAAGTTCTAAAGCAAACTAGTAATTTTAAAGACTACACCTGCATTTCCGCAGTTTTAAAAAAACCGAAAAAATCCTGTAGTGGCCGAATATGGTTAAATAAAGGTAATGTTTTGGCAAGGGGTCATAAGGGGTCATTTAAGAGACAAAAATATCTTGTCCATCAAAGTGTATATATAAAACGCAGTCTGCTTTGTGGTAGACACCAGTGTATTCTTCTCAGTAATTCATTTTAGTTTAAAGTTTTTTACTTTAAGATGACATCCACCGCCAGCTTTCTCGCTTTTTTCCCCTTTTTTTGACAGAGAGGCAAGGCATTGGAACCTTTTGCCTCATGCACATGATGATGTTTCACCATGAGTCATTAAGGCCACATGCACATGGTAGTCACATGAGAGTTGTCAGAAACACAAAAAACAAGGTGAAAAGTGATATCTAATCAGACCAGATTTTCACTGGTACTTCCCATATGTTGGGTCTTATTGAAGCCAGAGTCAGTTTTGTGAGAGAGAAATTAAAAAACAAACACATAAAGGTATTTTTTGAAGACAGATTCCTCAGTTTAGACTGGTCATTTTACTCCAGCAGCTACTGACAGGGCAGCGTTCTTAAGACAACCAAACTTGGCTGTAATAATGGTCAGAGGAGGTGTGAATTGCATGGACAGAATCTATCCACTCTGTCCAATTCCTGGGGTTCTGTGCTGCTGTGCAGGTCCATTCTGATGTGAACTGTACTTGAGTGTCAGAGAGTTCATCTTGGTGTGAAGCTTTTTTTAAAAAACACACATACACACCTTGACAGCTACACAACTCTTCAACAGTAACGTACAGAGCACTAAATGGCCAAGCCCCAGATTATTTATCCAAGCTTCTCACAAAATACACTACTGCTCGCCGTCTCCGCTCACAGACTCAGAGTTTGTTGGTTGCTCCCAGAACACGTCTGAAGACGAAAGGGGACAGAGCCTTTCAGTCTGTGGCACCAAGGCTGTGGAACAGTCTACCTCTACAACTACGTTTGGTTGACTCTGTGGAATCCTTTAAAAAACAGTTAAAAACTTTACTGTTTAAACAAGCTTTCTGTTGACCAATGCTTTTTACATTTTTATATTTTAATTTACATTTAAACTCTATATTGTGCATTTTGCTATTTATCGTACTGTTTATTTTAATCTCTGTGTGCAGCGCTTTGTGACTACCTGTCTATGAAAAGCGCTTAATAAATAAACTTTACTTACTTACTTACTTACTTACTTACTTACTTACACAGATTATATCTGCTACAATAATAGCTGGACACGCATAGACTCTACTAGATGTTAGAGTGCGTTTTCAGTCCTAATTCTAGTTCTGTAAGTAAAACTTTATTTTTAGAGGTGGACGTAAATCAGATCATATAAAATCATTCCAATTTTACAAGGAAAAAAGCATGTTAAGACATTAAATATGGACAAGTTAAGGGTCATCACTTCTGTAGCTAAACTCTAAGCAGTCCTGCATCAGAGATTTATGTATAGTTGAATAATGCGGGTAATTAATCAGCTCTTAAGAGTTATGTTTATAATTTGTGATTTTAAAATAACGCAGTCACCTTAAGTGACATTGTGTGCTAAAAATCAGCAGCAGGTGTACACTGGACTTAATCCTTCATGGGCATTTCAGGTCGTAGTGAGATTAACCTGAGGTGGTCTGGTTGATTCCCTGCTGGACTGGTTTGAAGCTTCTCTCAAGAAGAAATAGCCACTGGTTTAAACTTAATACTTCAAGGCAGAGACTTACATTGAGGTCGTCTACGTCTAAAAGTATATTTTGTTTACTTAGCAGGATATAGTTCTCTATGGTTCCAGTCTAGGGTTTTACTTTTAACAGAACTCAAAATGCTAACTTTGTGGTGTCTTGATTGTGGTAACAATGCAAGCATGTCTGTTTGGAGTCTGTGGACAGTTTGGGACTTATAATATTGATCGTGAGAAAAGCCCCTGAGAGCCAGACACGCAGAGCAGATTAACAGGTTAACCTGATATGTTGGCTGAATGGTTTAACAGAACATTTGTGTAAAATGGATTAGAGGCTTTGGTCATATTGCTGCTGCGGTTGGTGTAAAAGCTGCTACAACACGTCTCCTCCCTTTGTCTGAAACGCACCATTCATGCTGATGCTCTGTTCATTTTTTTTAAAGTTCGAAGCAGACTTAATGAAAATTCTTGTGAAATATTCGTAGTAATTTTAAATGAACACCAGAGTAGAAATGATGATAATTAAGGGTGCCCAGTGTAATTTTGGGACAGGTAAAGCAGTCACATATATTTTATACAAATATGAACAGCTGATATAAACAGTGTATGTTGCCACTATAAATAACACACAGCAGAAAAGGAACACAATGTTATTTGAATATTATGCCCACTTTAACACACTCACAACAAGCTTTTTGTGTTGTTAATTCTTCACAAAATCCCTTAGAATAAAACAATAACCCGTTATGAAACCAGTCTTTGTGACTTTACTATTAGCAGCCTGTAAAACACATACTTTGTTTCCATCTCTTGAGTTGAATTAATTAAAACAGCTAAAGACTGCACAACTTGACAGACGTAAAATAGTACTTTTGCTCTATAAACATAATTCCCACTGGCTATTAGAATTGCACAACGTGTTGTTATTGCAGCATGGTGTGCAATGTTTCCTTAAATCTGAGGAAAATGGACAAAGGAACAGTGGACCTAAAAAAAAAAATCAGTACCAGAGAGATGCTAGCCATTCAGCTCATCCATGTACTGCTCACTGAAGGGTCACCATAAATGGTCTCAGTGGAGAAGTGGCTGTCATAAAGCCATTCTTAAGGAAGGGAAATGGGTAGAAAAGGCTGACGTATGCCAAAAAATTATTGAAGCAAGACAAAAGATAAGATGACAAAAGTGAAAGAAAAAACTGGAGAACTTTTCCTGAAGACTACTTAAAGAAATTACAAGAAAGCTGAGAGTTCAGGCCATGTGGAATAATAACGGTGGTCATACCACATATTGACTTTCAAGCCTTTTAGAATTGCATAAACTCTGGTTTTGCCTGATATACTTTGTTTCAATTTATATTGAAACATATTTCAATAAATCATTGTAAATGCTTTTAATTTCCCTAGCAACATAAAAGAAAATGAGGGTTAGCTTAGGATGTTTCACTGCTCTGTAGCTCAGTAAGTAGAAAAAAAGCCATTTTTTTTAAGCAGAAAAGGTTTTCAGTCTGTGTGTTTTTGTCTCTCAGTTCATTTTCTTTTTTTTAATGCAAGATAACAGTTTCCTCTCACACTGCTTCCTCAAAACACTTTTGAAAACAGGGTTAAATAAACTCCATTTAGACCAATAACAGAAGATGTAGACCAGGGCAGTCAAACTCAAATACACAGTGGGCCAAAATTCAAAACTGGAACAAAGTCGCAGGCTAACGTTAATATTTATTGGAAAAAAAATCTTCCTCTAGATATAAGAATGAATATTTTCTTATGGACTCAAACAAGTTTTGCTGAAAAACTGAATATGGAACAAGCAAAGCGTAATACTAAACAATATATATATTAGCTGTATAATACCAGTAGGCCAGCTCTAATAGTAATTTGCTATGGCTTCGCAGGCCAAATGTAATTAGGCTGCGGGCCAAATTTGGCCCGCGGGCCAGAGTTTGACACCTATGATGTAGACAGTGCCCCAGGATTTCTCTAACAGGATTTTGCTCAGATGAGATGAGAAACAAGCAACAGAGCAAGACTCGAGTCAGATGACTTGATGACTGAAAAAGAAGAAAAAGTTGATTACAGCGGGTTACTATACTCAATTTATTGGTTGTTTACAGTAATTTTTTACAGTTAATGCTTTGGTGGTTACGTTCTGATGCTCTTGTTATTTGTCATGGTGGTTAAAGAGGTGAAACAACACACTATTGTTCACAGGGATCTAAATGCTGTATGAGTAAATTTACATTTACTCATAAAACATTAAGGAGTATCTTGTTAGGAATGTATTTCTGAAACAAATAAACACATAAATAAAATAAAGACCACAGTGAGTGAACAAAGAGCCCCACGCTGGCCATGAGACAATGTAAACTTAATCAAGGAACCAAAAGTAGATGGTGTCATTTATTTGACAGCAGGCTTTAATTAGCATTTACCACAAAACAAATTCCTGTAAATGTGGCAGAGGCCTCGTGCTTTGGTGAGTTGACAGCATGTTTCCAGTCAGGCTTTTCATGCCTAAAAGATCATTTTGCTGCCACTGAGTACATCTGTCACTTGATATTGAAATTGTGTCTACATATTTGATTGGGTTTTTGTGCAGCTGCAATTATGCACTGGTGTTTTATGAAAAGACAGCCATACTTTCCTCCCCTGCGGCCATGAGGAGAAGAACTTTACTTAGCAGTGAAAAGGAGCGAGAAAGTTGGGCTACAAGCCTCTTCTAAGCAAAGAGAAAACCCCTTTTGCGAAAGGGACTTTGAGCTA